TATATATATATATATTGTACATTATTAGTGTTTTCCCATCACTTGCTACTGACGCTAATTCCATAAAATTGCAAGATAAATGGATCAGTATATACATTAGCCGAGGATCCCGTCAGGTTCAAGGTATTCAACACACCTGTTTTTGTATTGTATGTTCCTTGAATCCAGTCGAATTGGCGATTGCACCCGATCGCGCTTGCTCCAGTTCCCGTTTCAGACGACGATTTTCCGTCTCCAATTGATCCAAACGAAGGGAGACAGAATCGTTCAGCTGTTTGGACAAGGCAGCCGTATAGCTGGCATAGCTTGCGGTGGATTCTGTGTCACTTTGATCGTGAGCCATGTGTGGTTTTTGCAACTGTTGCCGCGCGGACTGTTCCAATCCCAATCGACCCAACTCTTCGCGCAGTTTCTGGATCTGATCCAAATCGGAATTCCGTAACTGAAAAATGAAGTGCGATATAAAAGGGACTGATTCTAACCGGAGAGATCGACCAAAAGTATTTTTTTTTGGGGGGGGGAGCAATTGTTTTCATTGATTCATTTTCATGCCTATATAGATCATTAAAGGAAATGACATGCTGAACGAGGATAGACATTCAGTTATTCAAAGGCCACAGTGATTGGTTGAAAGGAGAGAAGGGTGGGGAGGGGTGGGATGTGTTCCACATCACTAGGTTACCATAACACAGCAATCAGATTATGATGCGTTATCTGTGTGATCGATCTTCGGTCACGGCATATTCGGGAATCAGAAAAATTTCATCAACCATCAAAATGAAGCATTTTATTCTACGAGTAAGATTGTTCACATTTGTATACATAAAAGGAAAAATGCAGCTGCATTACTTATCTAAAATAGGGATGGGCTGAAGAGAAAGGTCATTCGCTTTTAAAGTACAGACTGAAGTTAGGTGCTGATGAATATAGCTTCGAATTTTCAGAAAATCGTCCGATTGGCAGTCATCTTAATCTGCGTTGAATATTTGGTGCCCAAAACACTTGCCGTTATCCACAACTATGCATTTTGACTGCAACTCAGAAAAAGGTATTTCAGTTTGACACATTGGCTATTCACGTGTGCTAAGTAAGATTTGCGTCCCTAAGTGCCTAGAATGGGCAGAACATCAACTGGAATGCAATCCGCATACTTATTTTAGTCTAACAGCTTATAGTAAGGTTAAACAATGCATATTAACGCATAGCATTTGTTCACCCAGGCGAAGCTAACTGAGAACAGCTTTGGTCTCCGATTAACCTGTTCTCAAGACTACAGTACCAATTTGGATGAGAAATTGCCCAAACTCGAGTGAAACCAAGACCAACCACGTGCTTACCTGTTCCACTTGGGCCAACAAAGTGCGAGTTTTGTGCAACTCAAATTCCAGGGTAGCCACCTTTTCAATTGAACTCTCCTCACGCCCAATCAAACTGGATCGCTTGGCGTTTTCATCGGATAAGATGGCCAAATCTTCAGTCAGTTGTTGGCACCGAACCTTGAAATTTGCAGTGTAAAATAGAAATAATTTGACCGTTTCTGCTTTGGTTAATCGCTTGTAATTGAATAGCTACTCAACGTGACTGAAAATTTCATATCGGTTTAAAAATGTGGGCAAGATAGCCAAGATAGCGGTGCGTACAGGCCGTCGAAAAACTCACCATGTGAATTTACTTTTCGAAGACCACGAAAAACGAAAATTAGAACTTAGTAACGTTAGTAACATCCACTACTAAATAAAATGAGGAAATCGCCCTAGAGCAGTGAAAAGCATCAGAAGAACTTCTGTGAAGATACTACAAACAGGTAATGACCGAAGATAAACTTTGCTTGTGATCATCTCGTACTACAATTTCTTTTACAAAACAGATTTATCTTTTGAACAGGCAATTCAGAAGACAAACACTGCGAAGTCTTCTAACTTGCCTGTTCAAATTCATTACGGGATCCAAATGTTTCAGATTTATCTTTCGTAGTAGATCCACCACGTTTTATGAGAATATCGTTACCGTACTGATGAGTAGTACAGGTATAGAAAGAAAAATAAGGAATGTAAAAGTACTGTTTACCATTTTCATTGCATGCCATGATGATAAATGGTATCATTAGCCGCGAAGTACAAACGACAGCAGACAGTATTGACCGTAACCGATTGATTTGCATCAGTTGTTAAAATTCTCCATGGACACTCAGACTGGTGCATCATTCAACCGCCCTTAGATGACAGATAGACAGTATTGACAAAAAAACAACCGTGCACTGTCAGTGAGTGGATCGAAACCACGATCATTAGACAGTTCACGAAGAGGTTACAATTTGCAAGACGCGTATTCAACAAATTTCTTTTCGATTTTGCAAACGGATGGCATTTTTTTCATCATCCAAAACTTTGGCTCACTTAAATTGTCCTGGCGTCTCCTGATCATAAACATACAGCCCTGGGTTATCTTCGAAATAGAAGTTCAGCACGCTCATACAGTTCGAGAAAATACAATTTTTCGATATCAGCAGTGAGCACATATAAACACAAGGGAAGGTCTGGAAGTGCTTTGTTATGTCACGGGTAATAAAAATCCAAAAATGGGGTTCTCTTTGGTCAGCAATTTAAAATTCCAAAAACCCTAACATGAGTCTCACTTTGTAATACTCGATCTCATGCGCACGTTGCTTCAGTTTGGCGTTGTCAGCTTCCAGCTGAGATACACGTTCGGCTGTCTCACGCAGTGCGTCCACCTCGTCTTGCCAATGCCTTGCGGAATGGGCTGCATCGGCCAGACGGGCGCGCTCCTCCTTCACTTGACTCAACTCACGACGTGTCTCAGCCAGCTGGTCGTGTAACTCGGCTAGTTGGTCCGCTTGATCCTCACTGTGTTTGAAAAACAAAAGGCGGGATATATTTTGAACTTCGCTTGTTATTTCTCGATCGGGTTGGAAACACACTGCTAAGTCAAAAATTGAATCGCGATTCATTTACACCTTAATACGACGAAACTGGTTTGGTAAAATGACAAAACATGATCGTTTGTGCATCTGGCGAAGGAGAGACAACAGTTCTATCTGGACCTTTCGTTGGTTGTGAAGAATGTGCCACAGGTTTCAGCGACAAGCTCATACTGTCTGGTTGAACGTGTTAGGTCTCAATTTTGGGATTGGGTCTGTATGTGCGTGATAACATTTTGTTTTCTGTCACAGGTGTATTTGGATTCCGTTTGTCTTTGTTTACACACACACACACACACACACACACACACACGGAATACGGTGTCAAGCACCGAGTAAATAACAGAGTAATTTCCACTTTGTCCAGTAGTTTACGGTCCTCTCATCAGAAGACCGCTCTCGGACAAAATGGTACTTCGATGGGTACCCTCCTCCTTCGCCTCCACCGCTACCACCGCTTTCAAACGTAAAGCAAAGCTGTTTGTTTTCGCTAGTCGCATTGCGGATGTCTTGTGTTCATAGTCTGAAGATTTATACATATCCTTTGGTGCCAACAGACGAGAGTAGGTTGTCACATAAGTGCAAAGTGACCAGTGTGTCGAAAAAAACGCGTCCCCTCGAAGCAAACAACACCGCACATCATACATTGTGGGTTGTTCACATGTGAAGGTGAACAAAAGATTATTTTGTGCAGTTCGTATGGCCATTAACCCTGCACTTTCGTGTGCCACTTTTAGTCAGTCCTGTTGGACGAGGCATGTTTGGTCAATCGATGAAGAAAACGGTTAGGGGGGGGCAGACTAAAAAGAACCAAATGAGTGTCACCACGGCAAAGAGAAAGCTTTGCGCATAGGGTAGATGAGTTCACGTACGAGCGTGACTGTTTACGGGACCGGTGGCATGCATTGTATCGCCCACTATACATCGACACATCGATTGGGTTTGTTTCAATTACTGCAACTATTAAACTGATAAACTTCTACACGATCGAATCCATTTGTTAGGATTTTCATACCCTAACACCAGGCCGTAGTCTGGTCGCCTCTGACCTTAGTCCAATCAGTAACGGCCTCCACATACCGAGGAAGCCGATTCGGTGACCGGTATAACACATGTCCCAGTCATTGCGATCAGTTGAGGTCAAGCGCTTTAGTAAATGTGCGACCGCAATTATCTAATACACCTCGGCTAACCTCGCCATTGCTTGTCCGGTTATCGCCCCAGACTCGTGCAACGCGACGTAGGGGCGACGTTTGACTATCGCTAGTCTTCGTTTATCTCCTCTACGTGTAACGGCCCCGTCTCCTCACACCTATAGTAGAGTTCACCGGACTGATGTGGTACTGATTCGACCATTCACAGATAGACGAATATCATGGAAATGTAGTTGATATCACCAACTCCTCTGCCAGAAAATAAAGGTCACTTTTAAGACAGACATCTGTACTATGTGATGGACTTTGTTTCAGCCAAACTCCATTTACAGGCGTAGCGTTCCAACCATTGTTATCAGTTTGTTAGATAAACCTTTAAAAATCCGTGAAAGTAAAATCCACAGCACTGGAATCTGAGATATATCAGGTCTCCTGTTGTTCACCGATTCTATCAGCACGGTAAGACGAGGTGGGCACCCGAGAAGTGAGTGAGATAAAGCGAACAGCATTCACGGCCCCGTGTTGAGCCATCTATTCAACTCTGAAGCTCTGAAGCTCAATGGCTACCCAGCAAAGTTCATGCAATTGCACAGTGAAAAACCCAAGTCCAAACCCTCAGAGATGATAGTACCAAAACGTGACGTCACCGTTCAACTCCCTTTCAAAGGTGATGATGTAAGCCAACTCATACGAAGACGGCTGGTGGCGGTTGTAGCTTGCACGTATCTGGCCGCAAATCCGGTGGTTCGCTTCCCAACAACCCGGATTTCGAAGTCTTTGGTAAAATCATTGCTCCCTCTGTCCGCCAAATAGCATGCAATCTGTGATTTTCAATTTGGGTGCGGAGCTGCCTACAATGGGCACAACAGAGAAGCAGCTGCGTACCCGAGTGGCCGATCGCATACAGGTATGGGTCGAACATAAGTAGATGAGGTTGAACGCTACACAGACAACCAGGCCATCAAGCTAGTCTCACAGAACACCTGCGTCGTCACTTGCTCACCATTTGCTGTAGACTGGCCACCAAGCTGAACGTGGGACTTCGTTTCGGGTTGTTTACACAATCCAGAATGGACGGTTGCTGTAAGCACCAGTTGAGATGCAACGAAATAATGCTGGAATTAAATCGCA